CAAATTCTGTTCTATGCCTACTTCTTTCCTCTCCCTTCACCCTTCCGGTGACAAGCTGAGTCACTGGTCTGGCTTTCACTACCACCTCTGTGTTAGTAATATGCAAAACTTTATCTTCAGCATTAACTGGTGCCCTGAGTTCAAGTCTGTATTTACAACACTCTTACAGTCTACCTAGATATAAGTCAAACTCAACATGCCTAAAACTGAATTAATTACCTTCTTCAAAAAGCAGTAACCTATTTCTAGTTTGGGCATTAGAAAAACTCTCAACTTGCTGTCAAATGGATTCCAACTCATGTTGTCCCCATGTGATTCACAGTAGAACTGTGCTCCATAGGGTTTTTAATGGCTGATTTTTTTGGAAGTAGATTGCCAGGCCTTTCTTCCAAGTGCCTTTGGGTGAACTTGAACCTCCAACCTTTCACTTAGTAGCCGAATGTGTTGTTTGCACCACCCAGGGACTCCTCTGCCAATAGTCTTATGAAATTATTAATACCATTTTGATCATATTTACAAACTTTTAATACTATGACATTGGAGAGGTTTTTAGTTCTCTGCCTTACTTTTTTCTTAAAGGTTGGCGAACTCTTAACTGTTTGCCCCACCACTTCAACAATTTTTTATCTACGATCATTCCTATCTTTAACCTAATCATTTGCTGAATTCTGACAATTCCATCTCTACTGTATCTTTCAATTAATTGTTTAAACCTAAACCTCAGGCTTCTTAATTTGGAACTATATAATCAGACCCCAGGCAACTCTTCGAATCTTTTCTCTCACTGATCCTCTACAAACTGACATATGTTAGAAGAATGGTCTACCATTCCTGCAAATTTATCTCATTTCTGTGTCTTTATACCCACTATTTCCTCCTTGTAGAATGCCCTCATCCAGGGCCAGAATCATAATTTGCGTGGCCCAGTGCAAAGTGAAAACGTGGGACTCTTTGTTCAAAAAACAAGGAAAAAGTGCTGTTAAAGGTACTAAAATACAAAGCTTCCCCCTTTTTTTGGTGTTTCTCCTCTGCTCACATTCATGCTCATTGCCCCACTGGACTTCTTACAAAACGTAAGTTCAAAGATAAAATTATTAAGCATTTCCAGGTAGTGGCAGCAGACCACTGAACCAAATGTGGGGCCGTGTGCAATCACAGAGGTCGCATGCCCACAAGGCCGGCCCTGCCCTCAACCATCTGGGCCTTTCTCAATCCTACCCACCCTTCAGCTACAAGTCAAAGGCTGCTCTGCTGGACAGATTATGAAGTGTTCACGTTCTGAGTCTGTTCTGCTCCAAAGACAGCCAACGTGGCTCCCTCTAGTACTTTGCATGACTTCTCTGAGAACACCTTGGAGCCATTTTATCTCCTATTAGTTTATAAGGAGTCCCTGGGTGCCACAAATGGTTAAATGCTCCACTATCTGACAGGTTGGTGGTTTGAACCCATCCAGAGGCACCTCCAAAGAAAGGGCTGGTGATCTGCTTCCAAAAGGTCACAGCCTTGAAAACCCTAGGCAGCAACCGCCATGAGTCGGAATTGACTTGATGGCAACCAATAACTAGTTTATAAGCTTCTTAAGGGTGATGGTTACATCTTCATTCATCCTGGATTTCACCACACAAGTTGCATATAATAGTTGATTAATAGATGCTTGCTGAAAATGAAAAAAAGCAAACAAAGAAAAAGAGCGTTGCTGTTTAGAAACCATATGCAACATTTCCTGAGCTGCATTCCGTTTTTTCAGAGCAGGGATCTGATGCAAAAGTACAAGTTCCTCAGCTGGCTAGCTGGAACCTTCTCGTTTTCCTTGTCGGTTTCCCAATTAGTCCTTATGCTGATCTTTTAAAGAACATCCTCTTTCAAAATTATAATTAATTTCAATAATGGATATATTTTAGTTGCTAAAATTGTACGAATTCACTAATTTACTCAGATAAAGTTAGATATAAGCTTATATTTTCCACCTTTTTTAAAACTATTTTGATGCGGGGGAAAAAAAAAAGAAAAAACCAACAAACCCAGGAAAGTTTTTTCATATTTTAGTTTTAAAAATAATTTAACTTATTTCATGACAGTGCCTTTCCCACTGCCTTTTGGAAAATTCTGTGTATTAAACAGTTTATCAAAAAATCTTCATGTAACCACTTTGATAATGAAGTCAAACCACTCAAGAAAACCCTTGGACTGCCTACACTGTTATCGCCCCAAGAATTGTAATCTAATTCACCAGCCTAACACAAATATCCCTCCCCCTCCCCCTTCTTTTAAATAGTATTCTAAGTTGGAAACTGAGAAAGTTCATTTGTGCTTGTGGTAGAAGCTGCCTTTAAAAAACACGATTAAGTGGAATAAATTTGAACATCAGAATATTAATGAAAAAAATGCACCACGGACACTGCATCACTAAGAAAGCCAGTAACTTTACTGAATTGTCTGCAAAATACAAATTATACCTTATTTCCAGCAGGAGAAACTTTTGAAAATTTCCCACTTTTATTCACTACAGACAGCTGAATTAAGTCCCTTGAGATACACAGATGTGGTTTAACTTAGTTATAACATCTTGTCATCTAGTGGCGACAAAGTCCAGCTTATGCCGCTGTGAGCCTCTATTTGAATATTTGTTGTAAATGCTTGTATGCCCTCATTTACAAGCTATTTTAATTACTGTCATTTATTGGAAACAAGTCCCCAGAAAAAGAAAAAGAAGAAAAATGACAGAGCAAACCATCTGAAGCAATCCAAGTCCAATACCTACAGTGACCCAGGTCTATGTTACTCCAGGCGAACACCGGTACTGCATTCACACCACAACTAAACGCATCGCGTAGCTGACCTCTCTGAATTAAACTGAGGTATGAATCAATTTGAGGTATGAACAGGGAAGGCAAAATGCAATACTCGATTATGAAAATAACCAAAATGGATAAATTTAATGTAGAAGATATGTGGCTTGGATTGCTCCACATCTTTGGTTAAAACATATTAAGAAAAGCCTTTAATTACATCTGTAGTCTGAAGCATTCTAACACACACTAGTATTCCATCAATCTTCAAAAGATCTGTAGTGGCAGGAAATTAACGCCATATAAGTGACGACATCACAGCAGATGGCACAAATGGGAACAGATGAAGTATGCCATGCTAAGGCAACAGCCTTTATTGAGGTTTCAAGTGGCTTCTTCTTCTTAAAAAAAAATTTTTTTTAAAGAAAGGAATACAAAGCATTTACTCTCTAGAAAAACAAACGAGGATGAAGGGGCAAAAACAATGCTATCTCTAAGTTAAAAGGTGTACATTTAAGAAACACAAATACATAAAAGTGTGAGAGGGCAGATATTCTTTTAAAAATTGTATTGGATTTTTTTTTTTAATTCTCCCTTTTTTTTTTTTTTTAAATTCTCACATTTTAGTCAACCTTAAAATGATCTGAGAATGACAGGTATTTTCATATTCATCATTACAAAATGTTAAATTCCATCTTTGGGAAAAAATAAGCCATTTTTATACTAAAAAACACATTTTTTTTTAAAAAAGGTTGAAATGAACAGCTTCCACACACCAATGCACACAATATACAGGTTGTGCAGGTTGCGTATATTGCATCACTGTTATCAGTATTTAAGCTTAATATTGTTACCAAAAATCTTTTAAAACAGGGTTAGGTAAGATAACACTTGTAGTTACGTGAAATGCCACTTACAGTTTACTTGCAATGAAGAATGCTGCCTAAAACGTTACTCTAGGTTGGGTTTGTAAAATAATACTCCCTCAGGGCTCTGCCCTAAACTCCTGACTACAAAGGATTTACTGTGATAAAACCAAAAAAACCATACTAGCTTTGCAAATACAATAAATGGTAAATTACAGATAAGGTATAAGGGTAAAGATAGACAAAGATTGTTTACAGAAAATGACTCATCACAATCAAAATTGTGCTTCTTCTCATTAAATTGTTAAATTAAAAAAATTCTCTGATTATCCCTTCGCTATCTTGCCACCACCCTATGTGAACTCAGCAGTGGGAACAAGAGATGACTGGCATCCATTTTCAAGTGATTCTGTTCTTTTCATATTCTTAGAAAACTATTGTCAGAACTGCTATAAATAGCCAAGTCTTCTGCTGGCACGCTAGCTTACTTTATCTTCAGCGTTAGAAATTCACCTTTTCTTTGTTGCTGAGGCAAATTGCAGGTAAAAAATTAATATGGCTATTTCTTCATATTTTCATATAATGACCCTATCCCACCCACTGGTTAAGTTTCTACTGATACTGATAAAGTGTTCTGAAATGACAAAGAACGTTTGTGACATGTTTGCATATTTATATACATCAAGTTATAAGGATGGGTTATAAAGATGGGATCAAGTTTATGGTAAGGAAAATGATTTTCTTAGCTTTTTTTCCCCTGTATGCATGTGGGTAAACGTGTGTGTGTGTGTGTGTGCGCGCGCGCGCGTATTTTCAGGGATGATTTTGTTTTTCCTCTGCATAAATGTTGTTCTTTCATGTTCCATGGATACCTTCAGTAGTGGGATATATGAAATGGTTTTTTTTTTTTTTCTTTTTAGTATATAAAACGTTAGTACAAGGCAGGCTAGCATCCTATATGGATACAATCAAAGGTGCATTGTGGTCTAATTGTGGATTTCAGATCAAGTTAAGAAAAATATAGCCTCGTTAATAAGATCTATTGGCTTCTGCCACCCAGCGGCAGCCTTTTACAATGAGAAACACGTAGCAACTATGCAAGTGAAAGAAAAAAATGGATAAGAAATAGCTTAAACATGATCTAGCAGTGTTGATATTACTGTCCATATCTTTTTTGCTGTGTATGTCGATGCACATGATTGGAGACGAATCGACAGATCTTCACATTCCAAGAGAAGGAAAATTATTCCTGGACTGAAACATCTTTTGAACATTACGTATCAACTTTTTTTTTTTTTTTATGGCACTCACTTTTTAAAGGGCCTGAAAATTAATCCCTATTAACGAATATTAGACAAGAGTCATCATATTTTCTTGAAAAATTAAAAAAGGGACATAGAGAGGTTCTTTAAGGGATTTTTTTGAAATGGCTATTAAATCTCTTTATTGAAGAAAAAAATAGATGACATACATGCTTTATGCAGAAGTGACATTTGGGGGTCCTGACACATCGGGATTGTTCAACAGTCCTATATTGCTGACAAGATTGTTGAGGGTCAGTTAAAATAATTGGAAACGGATGATAAAGCAACTATCCCTTTACCTGCTTCCTTCTTGTCTAGCACCCAGTCTTTCACATTTTTCTTCTGTGGGAATTCATAACCTATTCACCAAGTAAATTCCGTATCACTTGTTTCTAGGGCCATATTTGCAGGACATGTGCCACAACAGAGCTTCTCTATTCTGGGCGTATCTCTAAAAAGCATATCAAATTCTAGGCTGAAAACCAGCCTGATGGTTTAGGATATGGGCAAGTTGTGATACGCATTTACCGAATTCCAAGATGCATGATGAAATGGTTAAGGTCAGAAAGGGGCCCTGCATTTGATAAAAATGCAAAAAAAAAAAAAAAAGAAGAAAGCATGAAACAAACCAATCAGTATATACAATGGATGTCAGGTGACCCAATAGATTGCTAACGTATTAAAAACAATTTAGGGTGTTGCAAGGTGATATGTTCTAACCCCACAGGTTATCCTTTTAACAGCTGACCTTGAACTTATAAAATGTATGCAGAGTAAAAGAAAACAGAAAGAAAATAGTTACTTAAATGTGCAACTGCACAAATATACCCCCCTCCCGCTATTAAGATAACAAAACTTCTGCTATTACCATAATATTATATATATTAGAAAGCTATACACAAGCATGTTAATTTCACAGATTTTTTAAAAGATTCTTAATATTTTATATAATTAGAAATACACATTTCAAAAACAAAACTTCTACAAAGAGAAAACAGTTATCTTGGTTAGCAAAGCATGGAGTTCTTCATGGCTTAGGGTAGTGCTTTCTATACAAAAAGTCCTTTTTGGTTTTTTTCAGGACTGTTTAAAATATTAGCGAAGCTATCAAGGGGAAAAAAAACACATTTTGGCTTAAGTAAACTACAAAAAGCCACAAATGCTTTGCAAACTCTGTCTTACCTTTTATATGAAAATAAGCAAAATGTAATGTACATATTTTTATATTTTTATTTAATAAGAGATGCAGACCCAGATTTATTTATTTATTTAATTAAATACGTTAGCCCTCAAACTCCACATTTTTTTTTTTTTTTAAATAGGTATGGTCCTCTTTTAATGGTCTTTGATCCTTTTTAATGAGTGCCATACGCCAAGGATATGCCTGCAGGTTTGTGAGCATTCTTGGGATGTTAGGTGACCTGGCCTGTTCCTAACACTTATTTACCAATGGCCACCCATTGCCGGGTCTGTCCAAAACATCTATACATTTTTCTATATGTTGCATAACAGCTGCTCTCTCTTTCAGTAAAGATCTGCCGCTTTTGGCAAATGTTTCCTTTTGTCTATTTACATGTAAATAACGTTGAACCTGCAACATGACACTATCTATTGTAACATACATTTTGCAAAGGAGCACAACAGTGAAAAGAAGTTAGCCTTAAAATCTATTTTGTACAAGTGTTCTGTTGTACAACTCAAGTGCTAAGCTTATCTCAGCATTTCTGTTTATCTTTTATACTGTATCACTGAGGCAATTTAAAAGTACTTTTACAAAACAGAGTACCTGACTTTTTTTTTTTTCCACACACGGCACATATAATGCATATCGACCCCCCTTCCCCATTAAGGTATAGCACACACACACACTGCAAGAAAAAAAAAAAACTATTAAGTAATAATCTGATCATGTTGCCCATCCTTCAGAGAGTCGCATGCGCTTGACTGAGGGACTTTCCCTTTCGTCCGGCGAAGGTCTGGTGAGTCCAATGGGGGAGTGGAATTCGTTCCGGTGATCCTCTCGGTCGCTCCCATCGTACGAACTGCTACAGCTGCTCAAGCTGTCAACAGGAGATCTCCCCGCCTCGTGGCGCGTGTGTTGTGGGTATCTCGAAGGGGTGGTGGTACGGTCTCTAGGAGGAGAAACAGGTTCTGACTTGATGTTGAGGCTTTGAGTAGAAGGCAGGGAGAGATTTGAACTCTGAGATAAATGAGTGCTAGTGCAAGCTCTGTAGGAGGAAAGGAAACCCAGTTACAGATGGAGGAGGCCTGGAGCCCCCAGGAACTCATAATTACATAAAACATCAGTTTAAAGACTCGCGTAGACACCAGAGCACGCCCAGAGGCAAGAGAGTGTGCTTGGAAGCACTCAGGGCATCGCCTTCTTAGAGTGATTTAGAACGCCTTTGTTGATTTGGCCGGCAGTGATTACAGTATTTAACAGGTCCAGGCCTCAAGAATCATAGCTCTAGTCTCTGACAGGCTCCCCAAAGATATAGGCTACCATTTCAGAAAGGTTTAACGTCACATACTGGAAACATCATTTTGTGCATCCGTGGAATTTCTCTCTACACTAGTTCCAAAATTTAATGCTGTAAACCTTTACATATAGACTTCACCTTTTGAATCAGATTTCTCTGATTTATTAATACCTATGCTTGAAAATTATTTTAAAAAGCTTATTATGGATATAAATATTTCCCTCAAGCTAATAAGCATGTAAAAATTATGTACATATTCTTCAGAGAAAGTGAAGAGAGTTCAAATTTCAAATGAACAGACCCATAAAATGTTACATAACTGTCTGTATCTGTTGAAAAGCCTGGGTGAGGGGAAGGAAGGGGGAGGAAGAAGGAGGTTGAAAATTATCTGTATAAATTGCAAACACTGGTTTAAAAACAGACATTCTACCCCACTAACACTGATAAAAATGTGTCTATCTTCATCCTTCCTTAGTTACATCAGATGAAAATACTGTCCGTTTCCACAACCACCTCAACTTCGCTATTGTTAGTCACTCCCTGCTGGGGTACTTGGGACACCACTCCTCCTATTTTTAACTGGCATTAGTTGATGAACTGGGGTTGCCTAAGAAAAGGTGGCTGCAAAGAAGGCCCTCCTGTGATTTTGCTGTGTCTATAATCCTTAACCCTCATCTATTTCTGGAGAGTTTAATTTTCCCTTCTTCCAAAATGTGGAAGATTTGGATACCTGAAATTCTGGTGAAAAAAGCATTAAGCCCTTAAGTGTAGATCAGCAATCAATCACAATGCCTTTGATCAGGATAAACCAGAGTAACACTGCCACATCAGTTTTACTGTTCTTGCATTCTGATTGCACTGACATCCAAGCCTAGGGTCAGCATAACTTGACCATATTGTCAAGAGAGGACAGAAACCTCTTTTACTGAGGAACAGTCAAAGAATTACCCATACAGACACACCCATTTTAAACAAAGGAAAGCCAGCCCATCTCATAATGTTAGTAAATATGCTACTTTCCAATGAAGAGGAGTAGATGGCATTAAAAACATCATTATGAGGATAGAGAGAATGAATACATATTTCAGAGGAAAAATGGGGTAACTTGGAGCTGGTGTTTTGGGAGATGCAATAAACGCTAAAGATGTACACAGATATAAAATTAGTCAGAAATGAGTTTAATCTTTGAGTGATGTTTTATACAAAAGCACCACCTACTGGCAAAGAATTACTTTTCTTCTCTTATTAATAGACAAGCTAATGTAGAGAAAAATGTAAAGGGAAATTATTTGTTTCCCTAATAAGCTTTCTTTTCTCTGGCTTTTACAACCTTATAGAATCAAACCAGTCTTGGCATTTAAATCAAGATACTACATTGAGCATATATAATTTTCAGTCACCTATTTATACTTTGAGCTAACTATTTGTAGTTCATTATTTTATAGTCTACATTAGTGTACTAATTTGTAAGAATTTTAATTAAATTATCTTTAAATCAAGAAGACATTAAAATGGGGGGGAGGTCACCTGTATTTCAAAAGAATCCATAATGGTGGGCTATTTAATCTTGGTTCAAAGTTACTTAATGATTCATTTTGATGTCAGAGGAAATCATCTTTTGATTTCTGGAAGAAAGAATTTTCCTGGCCCTGGATAAGAAAGACTATTTCACTAAGATTTAATTAAATGCCTCTATCATGAAACACATAACTGTTTAATAATGAATGTCAATTAGGAGTCTGAAAATAAAGTAACATATAAATAAACGCTTTTGTCTGCCCTTTGACATCTAGACTGTGTCTTCACAGGCAGGGTGACATGGAAAACTAGAAAAAAATATTTGGTGAGTCAGATGAGTACAGGCAGTTAATCTGGATAAACTAAGCAAAAAATAATATACTCAAAATTACTGCTTCTTTAATAAAGCTTCTAGAAGCTGAATTACCTTGGTTTTGAATCCCAATGTCAATTGGCTATATAGTTTAGCTGCATCTCCTCTCCATAAAAGATACAACAATTATTGGCTATCCCTTTCTATAAATAAATAGGTTAGTACCTAAGTTTATCTTTCAGTGGCATTTATTCAACACCGAAAGCATATATTAAACATTTTGAGTAGTTCTGGGGACTAAATCCACAGTAATGAAATGTAAATGAAACTATAGATTAGCTTCATTATACTAGGATATAGTGGGATACAGGATACAAAATAGAATGGAAATTTAGCTGTCTACTGTCTGTTAGCAAAGAAAAATTTTCTTGAAAAAGTAGCATTAAAAGACTAACTTAGCTCTATATGTGCTAGAATCAGATATAAGCATGTTGGTCTACTTGTTCTTGAGAACATTTTTATAGTCCTAGATAATTGTGAAATACTTCATACGTGTGTGTGATAAAGAGGTGAACGGGCAAGATAAAGAGGCCAGGCGTGCAAACTGCCTGTATCAAGTCCTCTGTGCTAGTTTTCATCTATTACAGATGGCTACTTTAGAACTGGAAACCCTGGTGGCATAGTGGTTAAGAGCTATGACTGTTAACCAAAAAGTCAGCAGTTTGAATTCACCAGGAACTCCTTGGTAACCACATAGGGCAGTTCTACTTGTCCTATAGGGTCGCTATGAGTCAGAATCGACTCGACAGCAATGGGTTTTATTTTGGTTTTTTTGCTTTAGAATTGGGAAAACACTTGTCCTTCCCCATAATAGTGCAGAAATCAAACATGACTGGATGGTTTATTCAAATTCCTTACTGCCTCTGCCTGGAAATTAGACTATCAGACTATATTTAACCCAGCCTTTTAAGAAACATCTCTAGTCCAAGTTATCCCTCTCAGTATGTACTGAACATCCACATCAACAAAGGTGATGCACAGAAATGCTTTCAGAAAACAGACTGCCTTTTTGTTTAGATGACAGGGAAAAAAAACACAACAAAACTTGAGAGTCATTTTCTCAAATATTACTATTCAAATGAATGTCACCAGCCCTTATTGACAAGTTCCTTGTGTCAGTCATCTCTGCTCCCTACATCAAATCAGTTTATGTTACTGGGCTTAGCATATCATTACACAAGTGAATCAGGCCCAAACTTGGTTAGATAAAATCAGGTATTAGAGCATTTAAAAAGTATAGCTTTGAAGACTTAAAAGAATTTTCAAAGTACCAAGAGCTCTATTACACTATTTTATTTGAGGAAGAAGTGTGGTAAACCTCTCGGGAAGCTTGGAATATATACTTAGTTGGGGTGAAATACGTTCTCCTCTTTGCTTTGAATATCGTATCTATCCAAAATAATTTGAAACCACCACACAAGTATATAAGAATACTTTGGCTTCGAAAACTTTTTGGTTCTTTTAATTGATTTACATTGAAAGAAATTAAAATATTCATATAATTTATTTTACATAAATGTTATAACTTTTTTTTTTTTACAGGTTAGTATTTAATTGCGTGAGCACGGGTAGCTCATTTGAGAAATTTTCTTTTTAAAAGCTACTGTGTGTGTGTGTGTGTGAGAGAGAGATTAAAAAAAAACAAAACAAGCAAACCCATTGTCGTTGAGTCAATTCCAACTCATAGTGACCCTACAGGACGTGGAAGAACTGCCCCATAGTGTTTCCAAGGAGTGGCTAGTGGATTTGAACTGCCAACCTTTTGGTTAGCAGCTGTAGCTCTTAACCACTGCACCAGATAGAGGAGGACCAAAATGGAAGGACTGGAAGGGCTATCCACTTTAGCGTTAAGGTAAGAGAGTAAGTATGATCAAAACTCATAGGCTAAATTCAGAGTCAAATCATACACCACGAGAATCAGTGTTGCAAGAAACCCAGTGCTAAACAAAATGCTTCATCCTTTGCTGTTGTAATTCAGTTCCTCTCTAGTTCAGGGCTGTCTCATTTTCTGAAGCCTCTGTTAGGGGCAGCAGAGAATTAGATTCTTCCCATGTAATAGAAGACAGTTTTAAAAGCGTGGCACAGTTAAATTACATATATAAATATGGATTTATATGTAAAAAATGCAAATTATCAGGTATTACTAAAAAACAAAAGAAAGCCACATTCAAAGAAAAAGATAGTGCTTTCTACATATGATTGATAATTTCTAAGGATGCATTTTGTGAAAAATAAAAGTGAGAATTAAAAAGTTACCTTTATTTTTGACAAGAAGCATGTATAATGGTTCATTGCTGAGTCACAACAGTACAATGCCACATGCACATATTTTAAAATCACCTGGATGGTGTTATGTACTTAGTGACAATTCCTTGGAAAGGTTATTATTGAAATTAATATCTACCTGCATTAAGTAAGAATTCCTGAGAAAATTTAAATGTCCTAAAAGGAGAAACTGTTGTTAATCAATTTTTACTATATCTTCAAAGTTAACGATTTTCTTAAGAAAGTAGGGCAACAATGTCATGTAGAATTTATTATTTACACGAAAGGCTAGGTTTTCAATGACAGTGATTAGTGGGAAGGATGTACATAAGCAAACTATGAAGGGGTGAAGATTCCATAATCAGACCACTGATCTATGCTAAATCAATGCACATGAAAGCTAGTTGGGGGTTGGGGGTGGGTAGGGCTAAGAGAAATGAGCTTGTACTATCAATCAGTGTTTTTTATTCTAATAAATGTTTTATTCTCATTTTCTCCTTAGACATATGAATATAGAACTAGCTGCCTATTCTAAACAAATGGACTAGGTATATAGAATGTTTTTAAAATCTCAAATTTTGTTATCATCAAATATTTTATATCTTCCCAGTATTTTCTTTTGATGATTAACTGAAATTTTGGGGTCGTTAGTTAAAGTCAGGTCCTAGGTTCATTTTAAACTTTTTTTTCTTTTTAAGATTTCTCTGATTTACAAGAAGTAGCATGAGTTGTGAATTCAGGGCTTTTTAAGGTTTGAATGTTTCTAAAGACAAATGACAGCAGTCATTTCTATGATAAAAACATATCTCAAAGCTACCACAAGGGGGCAGAAATTCACATCCTCTGACTCCACAAGACAAAAAAAAAATTTTTATATCCAAATTTGGTAATTGGCATACGTCTGTACATAAATACAATATCTAACAAGTACACAAATATACTATGAATACATTATAACTATTCAAAGCCTATATATTGATTAAATAGCTTTTCCTACAAGTATTTATTTGGTTAACATTAGCATAAACTATATGGTTTATGTTAAGGATTCTCAAATATTTAAAAAACTTGTAACTATAAATGTCTTCTTGTTCCTCAAATGAACTACGTGAAAGCTAAACCAAATGAAAACTCTATCCTTTGCTGATAGAAGTGGAAACAAATATAGCCTAAAATAATAAGGAAAGAATTTACCTCATTATCACAGAGCTCCCTGTCCTCTTTAAGACCAAGGAAAGTATATTTAAGCTACTTGAAAGATATTGACCCGATAATTACTTTCAGATTTTGGTAAAGTAAGCAGAATTTTACACCCTCTGTGGGACATTAAAGCACATTTTCAGAGATAACCATTTGTTCTTTAAAAATATACTGGAACTTTGTATTATAAAAGGAATAATATTGCTTACCCCAATTGACTGAGGGCAGATGGTGGCATGTTATGTAGGTGTTGCTGTTGCCAGCCAGTTACTGAGCCAAGGTGAAGAGCACTGGCAGTGTTAAACCCGGAGAGAGATGACAGGTCTGCACTACTCAGAGAGTACTCTAGATTAAAGAATCAAACAATAAAGAACAATTATTCAATTTGGAAAATTATCAAATGGTGAACACGATACACCTTTCAATTTCTAACATATTCTATTCATATTATTTATGATTGCTATTGTACATTTTTGGACCCTTTTGGGGGACGAGGATAAAACATCAGGGACAATTTTAATGTAGAAAGAGCAGATTACAAAAAAGTAAGTGTTCCCTGATGGCTTCTAAGTAGAAGAGCCTGCATTTCTAGTTTATTAGAACTACACTCTGGTATTACAGTACATATGTATTTGATGATGAAATGTTTAACTATCTTGAGAAAGTAAGCTTTCTCTTACACCAAAGAAATAACAGCTCAATTTCCTTGACCTGGTGCTTCTATTCTGAACTCAGGTTGGGTTAAACTTTCAGTCACTTAAGAAAGACAAGATGTGGATATTCACACTTTGTCTTCCTAAGGAACTGGTAATGGTATACTGTGCTGGACACCACAGCCACTAAATCAAGCTTCCTAACACACTAAAGAGATAATATTTTCTTTATCTTGCTTTTTGATAAAAAATATTTAATGTACTATTTACACATGGTGAAGTTACTGACCGGTGCCATATGTTGTTGAAATGGCTGATGGATATCCTCCCATTCCTTGTCCTGGTAAAGTAGGAGTTGCTACGGAAACCACTGGGGTAGCCAATGACTGAGCAGACTGGGAGTTATTTATCCTTTGATTCTTTTAAAGTAAATAAAAAAGACATTATTGATTGATTTTTAAAAAAAGTTAAAAATATTGTATTTCAGTATTAGTTTTGCACATAAAGAGATAACTTGGTATAAATCTCATGAAATTGATCATTTAACATGTGTCTCTACGAACCCTGCCAACCCTATCATTTACAATCCTTCAAGAGACCAGTTGTTGCCATAGTAACCCATTACATCATTATCTCCTAGGCAACTGAACTAGTAAAAGTACCATAGCTTTATTATGGGTAAAAACAGACTATGCTGAAAACTGATGAAATATGTATACTGTACTTCCATTGTTTCAGTTTTTATTCAAATGCAAATTAAAAAATTAAGATCAGCCATGGGGGTTTTTATGTTTAGTTCTACATACAGCAGAGAGAGCAGATGGGTAGAAGTTCATGCTGTATTCTAACCAGCAGGTGGTGCTCTGACCACTTTTTTCAAATTCTTCTAAACTTCCCTCAAACTAGATAGCAAAGCAGCTAAGGCTTATATTTAACTCCTTACAGCAAGGAGATTAAAGATCCACATATACTTAAAGATCATAAAAATCTACTTATTAGAAAAAAAATCTTCAAAGGTTTTAAAAAAGAAGGGTTATTTTTGTATTTAATTTTTACTATAAAATAAGTGCTGAAATATTGAAAACAGGGCTATCCCTTACAGAGGTTGAACCAGAAAAATAAATAACTTGATATTCTTTTCACCTGTGAGTTACACTAGAAATTAATGGCATTGAAACATTTAGCAATATTGACATACTCTTGTAACTTCCAAAATTTTTCACTTTTCCCAGAGCTACCACCTCCATCTAAAAGTCGCTTTAGCTTTTTCCCCTGGCACTTGCCATTTTAAGGGAAGCACTCTCACCACTTACCAAAAGCAGGTCGACATCCTCAGACTGACAGCATGGGGAAGGAGTTTTATTAATTAGTGTCTGTAAATATTTATAATTGGGCAATATCTTTTCAACAAAAGGAAAAGCATCTTCTGATAAGTTGCACTAGTTAAAACAGTTTTAAAACTCAGGCTGTAAAGATAGCTCCCTACAAAGACACTGTTTTCCTTAATGAGCTGTTTGTCTCAAACGTGAAGACAATCTATCCAGTTCTCAGCACAGGTCAGTGTCTTAACATTCATTATTTCACCACCACATTTTGAAAATAAGATTGTACTTGGAACCCTGCTTGCCGGAGGAGGGGGAGCTGTACCTGGCTGCCGGAGACCTGACCACTCACACAATCCCTGGGAAAGCATCAGTTTTAAGGGACCTGGAATAAATCTCCCAATTGCAACAGCCTGCCATGGCCCACACCGGTTGGCTATAGCCTGTGGGAGGTTTTATTTATTAGACCTAGTCTTTTCTGAAGTGAATGTTGCATATTATGTGATTTTTTTTGGTTGATATTCAAAATTAATCTGCACTGTGCCATAATAAACTAGTCAGCTTGCAGGACTGTTTTACCCTGAAGCTTGCCACACAGCACAAAAAGAAAAAAAGAAAAAAAAAAAGTGTTTGCAGAATGATCTAAATTTGTCTGCTGAATCTTGGTTTTAAATGTTCTCTCTCTTAAGCAAAGCTAATTTGAAGAACACCAATGTAAGTCTCTTTGTTGTTGAACTTGGTCTCACAATATTATTTTAATCTTAGGCATGCAGATCCAGGAGAAAGAAAGACAGGTCGATGGATATTATGTATATGTTATATTTTTTTTCTTAGAAGGGCCCACAACTCTTTCTTTTTGATATTAAATATAACCCTTGTTCTCAAAATGCCTAGGATTTTAAGACAATTTGCTTTTGAGAGCTAGGTATATGCATGAAGTACATATATGTACTTGCCATATATATATGGAAAGATTAATTGAAGCCATGCATAGGAATGTGATATATTAAAATTATCACTACAATATACCTAAAAAAGGATTTTCAAATTAATAGGGGAAAGTTCATTGGGAGATTACAGGAAACATTTTTCACTTTCAGCACCTTGAGGACATAAAAACAACTGTAAAAATCTGGTATATAGTATCTTATTCATGAGTCTGATTGTACCACTGGTCAAACCATATGTCTCACGAGCAGAGTGAGAAATCATTAATTTTTTTCCTAACTGTAAACTGGAGACCTTAAAAAAAATGTTTTTTTGGTCCCAGAACATCAATCATATACATATACACCGGATCTTGATTATTTTTAACATGGGAAAAGAAAAAGCTAACAAGTTATCAGAAATAATAGCTCAATACGAACAGGGCTCCAGCAACACCACTGAGGTGTTACTTTTCTGGAAGAACTTACGTAATTCATAAAGTTAGACAAACATAGGAACAGCAAAACACATACAAAATATTATCAACATTTATTTAAAATGTAGTTTTGCATTTACCACTGATGGCATCGTATTCTTGCTGCCTGGTGGAATAAGAACTCGGAGATCTGGTTTACGGTTGTTCATCCCTAAATTCATGGGTGGGGGAGATTTTGCTTGCATATTCTTGTTCAAGTTACCAGGTGAGACCAGCAGACCTGGCGAGTTTCGGGGATTGCCATACCCATTCCCTGTTCAAACAAAACAATGAAAGCATTCAGGAAGAAATACAGACTCAAATATGGTTCTAGAGAATACACTACATGGGATTAAAAAGAAAAGTGTAACTGGGTAAGAAGAACAATAAACATACATTGAAAGATCATAAGATGACTGACTTAACCTCCACGGGAAGAGTAACCGAAAGTTAATTATTTAGCATCCCTCTGAAGGAAGATTAAAAACTTTTAATGAGGAGAGAGCTAATATTCATCAACATGCTCAGAAGTCAGCATATACTTTTTTTCTGTTAATAAAAAAAAAAAAAACAGGAAGAAAGTCAGACAGTTGCTCAGGGTCTAAGAAAAGCACAGAATTGGTCCTGCACTTTCATCGACTTGCCCTGCGGAGGCCTGGCTGGCATGACTCACTCTTTCAGTCCATTGGTTTGGGTTTTATTTTGTGTGTCTGTGTGTCCTTAAATGAAAAAGGGCATACCAGCAAGACTGTAATTTCTAGGACACGCAGGAGGAGGGGAAGCTTCACACACATTTTGCTGTTCAGTGTCCCTTTCTCCATGCGAACTCTCCCTCTGCTTTTCCTTTAGCCAGGTTAACCCTCCTCACTAAGTTCACAGTGTAACCCCGGAGCTCTGCTTTCCTGCTCACACAGAACTTCAAGAAGCAGGACTCCTTCTCAGGAGCTCAAATGAAGTGATGCTGCCTCCAGGAAACTGCTGACTCACGAAGGTACAGGAATAGCCATCGATTGAGAATACTGAAAAGGTTTTCTTAGGCCTCTGACGTTTAGCCCCCTACTAACAGAAAAATGGATATCTGAAGGTCTCCATTTCTCACGTTCCAAAATATACTGCTGCACGACAGACAGGGAGATCTACAGAGGCAGTCAATGGGAAACGCGACCTGAGCTGGAACGAGAGCCGACTCAGGGGCTGCCTTCCTCCCCTGCCTCTGATTGGAGAGAGGCAGAAACCAACCACCAGGTTTAACAATCCTTGCTAGAAAACCAGACAGTTGTTTTCAGAGGCTCTCTGAAGGAGACAGTTAAACCTCATTGTTATTATCATCATTGTCATTATCACAAAACACAAGTATCTATTACTTCTGGACCAATGATACTGTGGGGATGCAAAGCCGTGGCCCCAGGCCTCAAATACCCTGCAGTCCCTTCTGGTAATTCATACATGTGTAAAAGATGCAGACTAATACCAGACAGCCTAGGGTGAAGTGCCCACAGAACGCTCCAGGTGAAGTGTTGTTGAGTTCACAGGAGGGAAGAGATTATCTGATAAATATGCAGGCAAGAGGCAGGTCTTGAAAGGGGGGGAGGGGCCTTGAAAAAAGAGAGGAGACAGAGAGAGATGCTGGGTTTGTGACTAAGCGCTGGGAAAAGGCCGAGGTAGGAATTTCCAAAGCACAGTCTGGTTAGAAGGGAAGGAGCCCCGGTGGTGCAGTGGTTAAGCGCTGTGCTGTTAAGGATTGGCAGTTCTAACCCACTAGCTGTTCCACAGGAGAAAGAGGTGGCAGTCTGCTTCCATAAAGATTTACAGCTTTGGAAACTCTATGGGGCAGTTCCACCCTGTTCTAAAGGGTCGCTATGGGGTCACTATGAGTCGGAATTGACTCTATGGCAATGGGTTTGGTTTGGTTTTGGTAAGAAGTGAACTTGAGAAAAGAGAGGGTTGGTGGAGGCCCTGTAGGACAGGGAGGCCAGGCTGTAGAAGAGATCTTGAATTCTAGTCTAAAATGTCTTGGGTTTACATGATGGAAATACAGAACATGAAGGTTTCAGAGCAGAGGTATAATATAGGTCTATAAATGGACATTTGGATACTGAGGCCTGGTAGTGTGGATGGAACCCTGGTGGTACAGTGGTTAAAAGCTGGGCTGCTCACCAAAAGGTCAGCAGTTTGAATCCACCAGCCGCTCCTTGGAAACCCTATGGGGCAGTTCTACTCTGTCCTAAAGGGTTTCTGAGTTGGAATCGACTTGACAGCAATTGGTCTGGTTTTTGGTTTTGGTAGTGTGGACAGAGACCTGTCTGGAGACCACGGTGCTGGTGTGAGATAGAGGTAATGAGGAATTGGGAAGGCAAAGCACAGTGTATTTTAGCAGATATTTTTGGGAACATCTTTTGAATTAGGATATATTTGAGGCACACTGTGTACAGCACATTTGTTCTTCATATCCCATTCATTTACCTGTCTCATTTCATGCATGAATAAACAGGCTGAATATGTAACAAATAACTACAAAATTAAATCTGCCAGTTGGATTATGTGTAAAATTCTCCAAGTTACTAGGGAGGGGAAAAAAAAAACCTCAAAAAATAAAACAAACGAAACACCCCCTAAAGCATGTATCTCATACACAGTAGTTGTTTAACGAATGTTGGTTGAATCTGAATAGAAATTTCTCTTCTATAATAAAACTTGGAGAAAATTAGTTAAATCCTCTGAAGCCAGCCAAATATGTCAGAAGCCAAATTTTTCTTTTTACAGTTAATTGGGACAGTTTTCTGTGGCAAAAGTTATTACATGAAACAAATATATTTACCTTCTCTCAGTAGGAGAAATACAAAACAAAGAATCTACTCATTTAGAAAAATGCTTGATAAAATGGAGTGCTCGGAGGAGTCTTATATTTACTGCGTCTTACTGAAACATTATTGTAAATATGTTAGAACCTTAGTTTTAATTAATAGATTTTATTAGATAAAAAGGGAATGAGGAAACGAAGGTAAAATTGCACTAGACTTTCCCGTCAGCTGAAGTTCAGGCTGGCACCCTGAATACATATATCACCTATCTATTAAGCCTGTATGAGATCTGGTTTAAATAAACAATCAAATGGAAAATTAGCTGGGTAATTTCAAAAGAAGGGGGGAAAAAAAGTCAGTTAAGCGGTGCAATGAAGCTTGAATAGATCAGAAGAAACTAAAACCCCGGCTCGGTAGATGCCGATACTGGTTTGCATGGAGGAGTTATTTTGCTAAAAGGAAGTAAAACCGCTTCGTGAAATGTGTTGTCCTATGATATGACAAGCCCTGGGCCAGTGTGCGAAAATGGAAATGCTTCATAGAGGCTCTGCGAAAAGGGTTTAAAAAAAAATTCTACAGTAAACTTTCTGAGAAATTCCAACAAAGCCTACGTCGTTTTGCCCACATTTTAAACAATGATTTGGGGAAGACGCATTAAAAAAAAAAAAAAAAAGTATTTATTAGGTGGAAAACTACAGTGTATGTTTACATCAAAATTTTAAAAAATGATTTAAAGAGCCTTCTGCTTCTCTCTTGGAATATGTCTTGTTATTTAGAAATTATGCCATTTTAAGATTAGTCACATATTTTAAGCTGTTTACATACTAAATGTAAAATATTTTGAACCACGATGACACTTCTTAAATTCATATTTTTAGAGCATCAAGTTATTTTTAAGAACAAATAAATCCTGCTTTTGACCGGTGAATTTCTGCTGTTTTTAGCATATTGTGCCAGCTAGCATTTTGGAGCCGTATAATAACCATTTCTGCTTCCAGCCACCAAATTGTTATTCTTTTGGCATAATATAGATTCAGGAATGCAAGACTGTGGATCCTAAGCCAGTGATATAGAAACCTATCATTTGAAAATCAATGATGAATACATGCGTGTGGTTTACTGCTAAGAAGAGCCTGCATTTAAACCAGCTCGGAAACCGCAGCCTCCTCCTCACTCAGAACGCTGTGGCCTGGGCTGAGGCTGCTGTCCCACCTTAAGATAAATTCACCAAAGAGAATGCTCTCATTTAAATTCAGGAGTTGGGAGGGGGCTGGGAAACACCACCCCTCAACAACCTTCTAACATACAGATTAAACCTTTCTTCATGCTATGTTTTAAAATTACCCTCCGCCTGGACAATTATCAATTTAGATGTGACTGCATGCAGATGTCACATTCCCCAACCACTTAAAAGCACAAAAATTATATAGCATGAGTGAATGGATTTCCTGATTATAGATTATAAGAAAATGAAGAACAGACCAACTTTAGAGTCAGTTTGTTTTATAGTTTCATTTGATTAAAAATATTGTTTCATAAAAAAGAACAATTTAGGCATTCATAATTTAATTTGTATAAAGGATAATAGAATCTACCTCTACTGGTTGCAAATTTCTAAACACTCATATTAAAATTAGTGTAAATATACCGACTTGAAATGCGGTGTTAGGAGAAATTTTTTTTTTTTTGCCTCCCTGGTTAACTTGCAAACACTTGCTGCTGTTTTTTTTTTTTTTTTAAATTGACTCCTATTTTAAGAAGTTGTAAATTCAAAGAACATATTCCTGGCTTAAGATGTTATGAGGAGGACATTTTGCCTTGTCTCACAGAGCTTAACTGAGCATGTAGCTCTCTTTGAACCCAAAGTTCTGGAACTTTCTCTTCTTTGGATGTTTAGACATTATGAGCCTTTTTACTTTTTTGTATTTTTCTGGACTCTCAATTATAAATACAAGCATATAAAACTACTAAGCACAAAACAGAAAAATAGTCCCTATAAACCAAGGCCAATTTCTTCACCAGCATCATCTTTTTATCAATTTCCCAAATTAACCTTGTCATCGTTGACCCTTCCCTCCCCCTTTTCAACTGCATATCCACTTTTCAACTGCATATCCAATCAGATACCAAATCTTGTTAAATTTTCTTCAAAAATGCCTTCTGGCTGCACCTATTCTTTCCATATCCACTGCCACCATCCTAGTTTAGGATTTCATCATTGTTTGATTAGGATCTTTCACTAACTCCCCATCTGGGTCCCTAGTATCTAGCTGAAGCCTTTTCCACCAGGCCTGAAGATGGGGTTCAGGAAGGCTGTGAATTCCTCAAAGCTGTATGCAAACTTTTGTGTGTATGTGTGATGATGCCAAATTTAATGTACAGTCCCAATCCACCCAAGGAAATCTTTTTCAACTGCCACTTCCATTATGTTCCCTTTTCATATATTGCTTAACCTCCTGCTGGGTCAGTGCCC